GCGTCGCCCCGTGATTTCCCAAGGGTCACACTTGCATGACGTATCAGCAACGCGATGCAAATTTACAACGATCCTAACTGTTAAGTATGATATGTATAGTATACTAGCTGTTACCTACGATTTCACCTGTGTGGCTAAAGAAAAAAAATAGGAGGCTGGAGATTATTTCGCGCCTCCTAATTCTTCTCTCTAAACAGAAATAGTACCTATAAGTACTAAAAAATACTTCGTTGTGGCGTGTAAAACAGACGTGTGTAAGTTGTATCGAGCATTTCTTTCTTTATTAAAACAAAGAGTTTCCTTTTTCTTGTATAGAAGCACTATTTTTATGGATTGTCAGTATGCATATGTGAGCATGAGCACCATGTTACACTGTAAGATTTTTATAATGTTTGTTTTGTTTTTTTTATTTCAGTAAGTTTTGCAATTTGTATAATGCGTCAAGCGTGTCTTTGCATTGTTCTCATATCTATATATATAAAATTCAAAGGTGATTGACTGACTGACTGATTGACTGACTGACATAGTGATCTATCAACGCACAGCCCAAACCGCTGGACAGATTGGGCTAAAATTTGGCATACAGATAGATGTTATGACGTAGGCATTCGCTAAGAAAGGATTTTGATAATTTCCACCCCCAAGGGGGTAAAAAAGGGGATGAAAGTTTGTATGAGACTTTGTCAGTTTTAAACCGATCGGGTTGTAATTTGGCATGCAGATAGATGTTATGACGTAAGCATCCGATGTGAAAGGATTTTGATAATTTCCACCCCCAATGGGGGTAAAATAGGGGATGAAAGTTTGTATGAGACTTTGTCAGTTTTAAACCGATCGGGTTGTAATTTGGCATGCAGATAGATGTTATGACGTAAGCATCCGCTATGAAAGGATTTTGATAATTTCCACCCCCAAGTGGGTAAAATAGGGGATGAAAGTTTATATGAGCCTTTGTCAGTTTTAAACCGATCGGGTTGTAATTTGGCATGCAGATAGATGTTACGACGTAGGCGTCCGCTATGAAAGGATTTTGATAATTTCCACCCCCAAGTGGGTAAAATAGGGGATGAAAGTTTATATGAGCCTTTGTCAGTTTTAAACCGATCGGGTTGTAATTTGGCATGCAGATAGATGTTACGACGTAGGCGTCCGCTGTGAAAGGATTTTGATAATTTCCACCCCCAAGTGGGTAAAATAGGGGATGAAAGTTTATATGAGCCTTTGTCAGTTTTAAACCGATCAGGTTGAAATTTGGCATGCAGATAGATGTTATGACGTAAGCATCCGCTTTGAAAGGATTTTGATAATTTCCACCAAGGGGGTAAAATAGGGGATGAACGTTTGTGTGAGGCTTTGTCAGTTTTACACCGATCGGGTTGAAATTCGGCGTGCAGATGGATATTATGACGTAAACGTCCCTTTAGAAAGGTTTTTGAACATTCTCACCCCAAAGTATGATACTTTGCCAGTTTTAAATTGATCGGGCTGAGACTTTGCATGCATAAAGTTACTATGACATAGGTATCTCTTTAGAAAGGATTTTGATAAATTCCACCCCTAAGGGGATAAAATAGGGAATGAGAGTTTGTATAAATCTTCTTAGCCGTTGAATTTAGAATCATTGAATCTTTTTGAATTACATTCGGTAAAACGATGATTTGGGACCTGGGTAACGTATGATAGTTTTTTCACAGATGTCTCACGAGAACGGGAACTATGCGTCAATGCCCCAGGACTCTCTAACTCTTAACCACTGAACTTATTCTAGAGAGATTCGGTACAACAATAGTCGATAGAATAGTTTTTATTACTCAAACCTTACGTGATCGGGCACTGTACTGGTAAGATCCCTGCGGGATTATTTATTTATTGAAACTACGATAAATCATTTCAAAATAGGTAAATCTTACTTGGGCACTGAATTGATTCTGGTTAATTCTGTCAGAAGTCATTAATCTACGCGGACGAAGTCGCGGGCAACAGCTATCTACACATATAATAAATCGTAGAAAAGTCAAAACTGTACATTGAATATTTTTTAAAAGAATATTTGAAGCGTGATCTCTAATCGATACCGAAGCCAATAATGTGGTTTTTAGAATTTTTGTCTGTTTGTCTGTATGTATGGCCGTGATGATCTCAAAAAGTACTGCACTACTATTTCAAATTTTGCATGAATATTACCTACTAACAAGTCTGGTAAACATATAGGCTACATATTATCACGCTATCATCTACGGGACTGAATCAATTCTGACGACGTCCATTACCGTAGAATATCCCTTGATAAAAACTAATTCAAAAGCCTAAATTCTGCCAGAAGTCATTATTCTACGCGGACGAAGTCGCGGGCAACAGCTAGTAATAATATATACGTACACTGTATGTATGCAAAAAAGCAATGCAAAAAAAATCAGCGACATTGTAGAACATATTTTTTTTAAAAGAGTAACGAATGGAGTTTTTTGTTCGTTCTTCTCCATTCATATACACATTTTGGAATAAGCACCTAGCTTCACTGACATACTGACTGACTTGGACTTAGACTTTGAATAAACGAAGGATTTTTGAGAGAATGAACATACTTTGCCTATTTTTTCTGTTAATCGTTTTACAACTATAATGGTATGCACATCTTACTATCTATGTTCAAGTAATTAATGGCCTGGGTAATATTCCACACGATTGTGTTTGAAAATAGAAATTGGTACAAATATCAGCATGGCAGGCTACATTCTGAAACCCGTACGGCCACGTTTGTAATTTAGCTGCAAGCTGCTCGAATAGCACTCCGGAGACCATTACTGCATCACCCGGCGCCGCCTGCACTGTATACTAGTGTCTATTACAAAGAGCTATACATACAACATGCTATTTCAGCTACCTACGAGTAATTACAATATTAGGGCTTCTTGTTCAATTTACGTTAGAAACTGCACAATATTTTATAGAGCTGTCTTTTCGCTAAAAAACCTGTAAATTTTCTTAGTTTGTTTTACACTATGTAGTGATTTTGTCAGTCATCATCATCATCAACAGCCTATAAATGCCCACTGCTGAGCAAAGCCTCTTCTCACACGGAGAAGGTTTGAGCATTAATGAACACGCTTGCTCGATGCGGGTTGGCGATTTCAAACTTATAATTAGAAATTATAAGTCCAGGTTTCCTCACGATGTTATTCCTTCACCGTTTGTCAGTGGTGTCTAAATAATCTTAGAAAGTACATATAACTCGGAAAAAGTCACATTGGTACTTGCCGGTAGGTTTCCAACCTGCACCCTCATGCGTGAGAAGCGGGCGTCTTAAACCTCCGGGCCGCCACGACACATTTTGTCAGTAGGTATTTGAAATGGTGACATGCGTCATAGGCCAAAGTTTGCCACATATATATGTAGATATTTAATACTGCAGTAGCTGTCTCCACATGAGGAACTACTTAACACGGAGTGGGAGGGCTGTTTGCCATCCAATAACATAAAAGGGGTCGTCTCGAGGAGTGGAGGAGTAAGTACTCTGCCACTTGTCACCACTATTTGCTGACACTTTGCAGCCGTTAGTTCTTTGCGGGTTTACCAAATACTATTAAACAGTAGTACTTAAATAGTTATTTGGTATTATGGTATCGAAACTGATTAGTAATATTAAATGCTACTGAATTTTAAGCCATACTTAAATATCGTGCCATCGCTGTCATTTTACTAAGCATTTGTGGTGACAGAATTATACTTAAACGCGACTTTAAATTGAATAGCCTTTCAGTAGTCGGTTAGTTTTGGATTTTATTTGGTTGGTACTTACGACCTGTGGCGCCCTCATTGATTTTCATTAATAAATAGACAAACTGTCCCAACTAGAAAGTAATAGACAATCGTTTTAGACCTTACGTACAGAGTAACATCCACAAATTAAACTTAATACCAGCTGTGTGTGTCAGCAACGAGAGTAAAAGAATCTTACTGGTAACATTACCTGTGAAGTAACACTTCATCGTTGTAAGCTTTCACCGCCAGAGTGCAGCACTTCACAACTGCGCCGTGTAGGAGCGCACTTTACTGGTACTTGTACTTGTTACCTAACACTACTAAACTCATTTTATGTATGTTTCTAATGTTGCTTCAGGAATTTTATTTCATAAAACTGTGATAATTTTATGTGATAGGACTATCGACATTGAAATGTGTAATTTTTCGTGTTGAAAATAAGGTTGTTTTTTTTGAGTTGCTCCTTTAAAATCTCCACGTGTGAGGGAGGGAAATCAGAGGCAATAACGCTTACTGCTACAAATCAATTTCAGGCCGGTAAAGCCGTGTCCGCTAATAGAGGTAATACTAAATTAAAGTGGCTGGTTCAACATTCGTATTATATTTGAAATCGTCCATTGAATAATTTCAACATTTATTCATTAACAATGGACACTACAAATTACATTTACAACATGACAGTGCTGTTTTAAACGATATATATACGTCAGTCGTTCATATTACTTTTGGAAAATGGTAATAAATGAGAACAAAATAGGTATTACTTCATTAATCCACGCCGTTATTTCTGTCGACCTATACACCTTTATTTGTTTTATTTGTTCTTTTTTGTCTAATTCTAATTCTTTTATTGTCATTTGTTTACGCATTTGTGTTGTAATCCATAGCTCCATAGCATACAATTTTGTCACAGAATAATAGTCAAAATATTCGACAAAACTTACCAATTTATAGAGGTACTAGCGGACCCAACAGACATTGTCCTGCATATCTACTTGAATGTATAAACTAAAATTCATTCAAATTAGTTCAGCCATTTAGGATAAGTAACCTAGACACCGACTGCAGAGAACCTAACGGGTTACCGGGGATCCGGCTCGACGTGCAGGAAAAGGAAAGGGGTGGTTTTTAGTCAGTAAGAGTCTGACACTCCCTCCCGCCTCACCCAGGCGGGAGCAGTAAATCGATGATTTTTCCGCTTAAAAAAAAGACACAGACTGCCGTGGCATCTGCCGGGCTGATTTGTGAATCTAAAACATCCAGGATGCCACTCAAAAGCGTACAGAAAAAAGATTTTAATTGGTAAAGCCGTTTAGGAGGAGATCAATGACATACACATGTACAGCAGAATTATATGTATAAAAGAGGCAAGAGGTATTGTACAATAATTCCATTATACTATAATTCCTCTTTTTGGTCCTACTCTTAGCTTACTGTCCTCTCCAGCCTCGTTTGCAGATCTTCTCGGTCGTAATTATCAGCTAAGAACTGCAATAATTTACTGGACAATGCTTCGGTTTCCTCTCGTTTCTTCGTGAGATCACAAGGGAACTGTCCTAAGAAATAAAGTAAGGGATTTTCTCTTTCCTTTGCCAAAGATGAGTCCTGATTATTCACCAACAGTTTCAAAAGGAGTATTAGATTTGTTCTGGTACTTTCATCCAAACTAGGATCAAGTAATACATTCAAATTTGGTTCATAATATCCTTTCAGAAGGTGGAGGAGATGATGGTTGACATTACCGAGGTCCAATTCATCTTCTATGTCATCATTCCACTTCGGTACCAGCATATGATTCTTATCACCAGGTTTCAAAATTCTGAGAAGTAATTTTATCAAAGACTTGACTTGTTGAGATTCATCACCATATCTGTTTTGGTGCTTTAATAGAATATTTAGACTATCAATGAGGTCATTAACCAAGCTCGTTTTTTCTGATTTGTCAACATAGGTAGGTCGTGGGAGTGTGAAATGAAATCCTGGTATATCTTCAAGATGCTTACCATGAGTCTGCTTAGGATCAATTAGAATATTTGGTAGATTTTCTGAGTGAGTAAGAGATGCATCATCTGTCTGGGGCACAGGATAATGTTCCAGTGGAATATTAAGATCTGGATGCGACTCGATTCTTTTATCGTCCTCATCCCAATGATCTGAGTGGGACTTAATCCTTTCATCGTCCCAGTCCTCTGGGTGGGACTCAATACTTTTATCGTTCCAGTGATCCGTATGAAGCTTGACACTTTTATCTTCCCGGTGATCTGGGTGAGACTCGATTCTTCTACTGACCCCATGATCTGGATGATACTCAGTTCGTTTATCGTCCCATTGATCCAGGTGGGACTTAATGTTATCATCGTCCCAGTACCCTGTGTGGGGCTCAACCCTTTTATCTTCCTGGTGATCGCGTTGGAATTCAATCGTTTTGTCATCCGAATGATCTGGGTCAGGCCCAATTGTTTTATCGTCCCGGTAATATGAGTGGGGCCCAATTCTTTTATCGTTCCAGGGATTTGGTTGAGGCTCAATCCTTATATCGTCCCACTCATCTGGGTGGGGCTTAATCCTTATAGAATCTTTATGATTTGGGTGGGGCACAATCCTTTTATTGTCCCAATCATCCGGGTGGAACTTAATCATTTCAGTGTCTGTGAGCCGTGGGTAGGGCTCTATCTTTTTGTCCTCCCAGTAATCTGGGCGAGGCTCAATCCTTTTATCATTCCCATGAACCGGGTAAGGTCTTATTCTTGTATCATCCTGATGGTCCGGGTGTGGTTCAATCCTTTTGTTATGCCACTGATTCGGGTGGAGTTTAGTCCATTTATTATCATGACGTCCTGGATATGGCTCAGTTCTTATTTTATCCCAGTGTTTCGTCTCAATAGATACATCCGAATTAGGTTCATGAAAATCATTCTGTAGATAGAATGGATGTGTATATAGATGGGACTTAGCATCGGTATCTGACCGAGGTTGTGGATGAAGCCCATAATTAGTTTCAGGCAGTTTGCCCTCAGGAAGGTCTAGATGAGACTCCGCACGTGGTTCTGATGAAACATTTGGATACGGTTTCCTAGTCATGCCATTTGGGTTTTCGTTACCTTTTTGGTACGATGGATCATTTTTGTCATTGGGGTAAATCGTAGGATAATGTGAGTAGTAATACGGGTACGGGTCGTTTGTGTTGGGATGAATTAGATTTCCCCAGTCTACATAAGGCCCTGGATTTTGTAAACTATGATCCAGATTGTTATTCCATAAACCATTATTCCAAAAAGAAGGAGAAAAACCGGGATCAATAATTCCAGGAACAGAAATGGGCAGGGTTGGTATAGGTCTAACTGAATCAGCGAAGGGAACTGATTCACTGTTAGGGTTAGTTAGTGGTCTAATGGTAGCATCGCTACCTCCAACCCATAGAGGTGATGCAGGTTGTTGAAGATTCAGTAAAATTTCATTCGTGGCTCCACTATCACCAGTAGGTACTCCTATATTGTACCAATTAGGCAGCACTGCACTACTAATTGACAAACCATTTGCTAAAATGTTACTGAAATCTAGAGAACCTCCATTTACATTATTACCGGGATTTTGTAAGAGTGTCGGTTGGCCGTTTATCATCACGACTATATATGAAGGCATGTTACTCAGAATACTTGAAGGTAGTAATACATATCCACCTGCTGGCAATAATACTGGTATCATCTCTAGTTGTTTATTTTCTCCATCTTCTTCCTTGTTTTTGCTTTTATCAAGAGTTTCTATTGAAGGTATTTCAGTAGGATGGTTACTAAATATCTGTTCTGTAATTGGTATAATATCATGTTCTGGTGCTATTGAAACCTCATCTTTATCTATAGTGGTAACTGCATTATTTGGTAAATCATTATCATTACAATTGTCAGTACCAAGAATATCAACAGTAAGGTTATCTTGTTGGCTTGATGATTCACTATTAGCTTTGTTGATATTAGTATTGTTTCCCTCTAGCGACGAACCAAGAATACCGGTACTGTTTGAATTAATTTCATTATTATTGTAGTCACCATCTAGTAAAAGTTCATCAGCCTTTACAGGGTCATTGCCTTCACTTCTAATATTATCTATAGTATTACTATTCTTTTCTAAGTTAACCATATCATCAGATTGCCTGTGATTTTGATTTAAAGTAAGCTCTTCATTGTCAACTTCGATAGTGTTTTTCTCATTAGGTTTATTTTTATGATCAATTAAATCTTCTAGACTTGAACGGCTATTTATACTAAGTGAATCTGTGTCCAAATTATTTCCTTTTATGTTACCATTTAAATTCCTTCCTAGAGGTTTTTCTAAATTATCTCCGTAATGAACACTAGATTGGTCACCTAAAGGAAGACCCGGGTTAGTCCCTAAATTGACACCTGAACTGCTATTTCGTGTGAGACCTAAGTAACCTCCTAAAGGGTTGCCACGGTTGCCTCCCAAGTGAAGATATGGAAGGGAATGAAAATCTTTAACACCAAAAAGCGGGAATCGTGGGGAACTTCTTAAATTGACATCTATATTACCACCAAAAGGAATGCCCAAGTTACCTCCTAAGCGCAAACCTGGTTTATTGACTAAGGGGAAACCCAAGTTACCTCCTAAATTATCGCCTGTATTTTCACCTAATTTAAGGTCTCTTAAATTAGATTTCAAATTATTTCCTACATTACTATCTTCAAATGGTGAAAATCCGTTAGCGCTAATGGTTTCATCTCTCTTTAACAAATGGTTTGAGTTTAGTGATCTTCCATTTACATTTTTTCCAGCGTCACCATCCACTTTGTTAGATTCGACATCATCTAATGACCCGTCATCTACTCTTATTCCACTATATCCTTTATCCATATCATGATCCTTTTTATCAGTGTCTGTGTACATTGCTGATTTATTACTATTTGGAATATCGTCTTTAATTGAATTATCTTTAGGCTTTAGATCTATAACAAGATTTTCCAATTCACTGCGTGGAGAACGACTAGAATTTATATCTTGTGATATATCTTCTGAACTGTCTGGAAAGTCGTGGTAATTGTAGTGTCGATGTCTTTCTGATGAGTCGTGTCTTCTGTGATGATAGTCGTAGGGGTGATGATAGCGGCCATGATTCCTATCATTGGGGCTGCCATAACACAGCGTATATAGCGTCACTAGCAATATGAGCAGGATCTGAAATTGACAACGATTTATCAATAAGTCGAAATGGCACTAAAATTATTTTATGACCAATTCCTACTCTCTACTGGCTACAGTCAAGTCATAACTACCAAATCTGAAATGTATATCTGCTTTAGATTTCGAAATAAAGTTACATCTATATAGCTGAGAATGTAGCGAATTTCATCACAGAAATCTGGAGAATCGCCTCATGCCTCATACATTTTATATGAACCCCATGTTAGAGGTAGCGTGGCTATGAAATATATATGTTCTGACCTAACGCTACGTTCGCTGAGTTTCATAAAGTATTGCTCATGAATTACCAGTTAGGATGTGACGATAATACGAAGCTTTATGACCAAGATCTGTACAGGAGACAAACAATATTGAGTAAACTTAATTGTATCAAAACAATACATATTAAAGTCGACTACTACCCAAAGTACAACAACAACACTATTCAATTTCAATAATATGACCTTTTTCTGTCTCCCTTTCAGTGAAACTGTTACAACTGCTAAGAAAAAGCCAAGGAAGAAATGAAGAATTTCTACCTACTGTATTCTATACCACTTTTATTCAAAAATATAAATGGGATAAAAATGTGATAGTAGTAGGTATAGCAATTGGAGCATGATTGGCTCAGCCAGTGTCATCACTGGCTAAGTATAGAACCCTTCATAATTATGTTCATAATATGGATGAGTAGGTAAAGAATTAATTGACGATACGTGCGGCACCATTCAACTGTACAGACTGCCGATTTGTTGTATAACGCTAAAAGTACAAAAATATATTGAGTACATAGTTATGTTGTACAATTTAATGACAATTAATTTAATCGCCTGTCATGCTCACTTAATGTGGATATTGACATGTCCTATACCCTTTTTAAGGTGAAAACTGTCCTGCGTAGGACATTTACACAGAGTTAAACTCCACTTTAGATTTAATTCGTATTAGAATTAAAAACAATTGTGATGTAACAAGTATTATTAAGATGTTTTTTTTTTGATACCTAACCGAACTTTTTACTGTAATGTCCTGTTCTTTTTTAATACATGTCGTGGCAGCCTATAATTAAGGCTACACTATACAATGTTAAAATATGTTAAAAGTCTATCATGTATTTTGATGTATGCTTTATTGGTTATCCTTAAATAAATAAATAAATATTTATTATTACACAAAACACCGATAGGTACCGAAAAGAAAGACGTTATCAGACTTTCGGATCCCTGAATAAATTTGACCACTATATGTGTAGTAGATAGTTATGGTTAAAATATATTTCAAAACAGTCTTTCGTTACTCAACCTGGGAACCGAACTCGAAAGTGCGACAACAGCACTTGTGAGGACCTGATACAAAAACTAAGGCATGTCTCTTAAATCATTCGTAAACTCAACTTAAAGAGTGCTTTTGTCACACATTTTGTTAAAAAATAATAATCTACGTTTTGACACACCACAAATATCTTATTTGTCTGACCACCGCCCACTTAAAGTCACAGTTTCACAAACTCAAACTGTTACGACAATATTTTGAAATCGCTCACCTGTGCCTTCATCACGACGACCAGTAAATGAACGTCGACCTCACCCACCAATAGTTTGAAGAAAGTAACAAGTCAACTGTCCACAATACCAATAACTATGCAACGGGACGTTATCGTTATTTAATATTTATTTAATTACCATTAACATTGGAGAAGTATTATAATAATCATTTATTTTTAGTATGGATACATTTTAAGATGACAGTTCACCTTTATGATCCCAAATGATCATAAAGAAAACATGATTTATCCCAGAACTGGGGGCTTACCTACTCTTGAATCCTTCTCCTCTTGAGTTGCAACACTAGCGCCCATGGCATCCGTATTACGTGTATATCGAATGAACTAAATAGTATTGAGTTAGGCTTTATATTTCGTACTCTGAATGCTAATTTAACAGCTACGATAGGGGTTGTATAGTTTTGACATTGAATAACTATCGAGATTTTATTGGATTGAAATTGCATTGAGATTGAGATTGGTTTCAATAGTAAGCACTCTGAAGGGCCTTACCTACTTTACCATTCATCAGTTATGTTTTAAGTTCCATGTATTTAATATCTAGGAGGTGACCCTATTGGCACACGGTACTATGGCAGTCGGTGAAATAGTTCACTCGATCATCTAAGCATTCCTCATCGAAATGCTTGAACGAAAATGTTCAATGATTGAATGAAGATGATAATAAAACAAAACATTTGGTAAAAGGCTAATTTATTCAGTCTTAAGAATTCAAGTATTTACACAATATGTACAATAAAACTAACAACTACTTAGTATATTTACAGACCCGTTTACTTATAACTACACTTAAATATATAATTAAAACTAGAATCGGAATCCTTTATGATTGCCAAGTCGACCAGTAACAACAATACAGGAACAAGATAAAGCGGTTAAGTTAACATACATACAATATTACAATTCTGTATTAAAATTCCACAAAATGAATTATCATAGATTTTCCCTTTGTTGGTATTAAATAGTGTTTGCATGATACAAAGAAGGTTCCTACTAAGAAAGGAACGAAATTGGTTACAGACCTCCTAAAATGATACAAAGATAAAATTTCCAAATTAAAAAATATTACGATTGATGAATAATATAAAAGTGAGAAAATATCTTTGGATCTGTAAATCTGCCTCAAAACTAGTTTAGAATATAACTGTAGCATTTCGAAAAACAAATGATGACATTAATAATTGTATTGGAAGAATGGGTCCTTACGGTTTCTTCGGAGTGCTCATTTTTTTATCAATAGGATTGGGTGTAAAAATATAATCGTAATGTCTAACAGGTTTGCACTTGTCAGCGTAATATGGCTTCTTTATGATAGCTGCTAGTTCAGCAGGAGTAATAGTTTCGTCAGGACAGCCACACGGCTTGTGGTGATCGGCTTGACCAGACGAAGCCGACGATTTGGATGAGTTGGACGTATCAGACGAATCGGAAGAAACCGAGGCAGACCTACACACCCAACAGTTCAGTTAACCACATATAGATGGCACCACTAATACAATAGCTTAATTATATTTATTGTCTAGACTTATCTTATGAACTGAATTATCAATATTTCTAAGAATAGCCTGGTTTTATAGTTCCTTTTCTAAAATAAGCTTTTTTATTCGGTTTTGTATAATAGCGCCATCTATATTGCTAACCTAGAACCTTACAGATAAGTACCTAACACTTTCTCTACACCCTGTGTGTAAGATAATGTATTGTAATGATGTTACTGGATGTAAATTATAAATGAATAGGAGAAGGGGCATAAACCCTCAAAGATGTTTAAAATTCACAATCAATTTAAATCTTTCTGTTACGGAGACTAATCATCTCCTATCAACTTGTCCTTTCACCCCTTATTCCTTTTCCTTATACTCGTAGAACCTACCGTCTTTGCTGCCTTGGGATGGTAGTGTCGGTGAACCGGATAGAACAGTTCTGCACAGCCATGTTGGGACGCAGGAAGTCGGAGAGACTCTGTGCGGCGGATGGACGGTCGAAGGGGAAGCCCATAGACCGACGGTCCGGGTACTTACGGTCCCTGATACCGCAGTACGAGGCTGCGTCGTTGCAAGAGCCTACTAGGTCTTGTTCGATCTGTAATTAAGATGGCCAGGATTAGTGTTGGGATACTTTGATGAAGAAATGTGATGATGAGTGCATTGCTGACCTATTACATTATAAAAGACTAAATTATTTGTAGACCCCATTATCTCTCCTCAGTGATGCGCCGTCAACAAGCGTTGACAGCCCGCGGTTGGACAATGACACGATCAGATACTCTTTACAGGTGCTAATGATGACCACCAGAGAGGTTTTAGTAAGATATGAATTCCACACTATCTTGTTATGCCATAAAAAGGTTGAAAAGATACCCAATGGTCTAACCTCTGAGAAACTATGTAACTTTTGAAATAATTATATTCCATATTCTTCTGATTTTCAAGATATAATGCTTCCTTCCGTAACAGCACTAACTCTTCATATTTTGTACCTTGCAAGTTTATAGACGATTACACAATTTGTATACGTACCCTGTCCTCGGCCCAGTTGGAGACCATGGCGAAGAGTACGACGGGGTACCCCTGCTGGGTCCCCTTGGCGACCAGCATGTGGTGTGGCCAGCCACAGCCGCAGAAGTCGAACTCGGCCGACTCCTCCGCGCCCGGGTCGCCCGGGCGGACCGACTGCGACACCGAGACACAACTCAGTCAGAAGTGAATACAATACATTTTAGTAGCGTACAGAGGTATGCACAAACTGGGGAGAATCGCGACTCCAGAAATATGTAAACACTCTTCCACCAGCTGTAAAGTCAAGTCTTAAATATATTGGAGGTAAAGGCGAAATTACTTTCATATTAAAAGTCGAAGTCTACATTCATTTAAGCGTTTAACTGCCGATTAAAACTATTAAAGATCCGCTAGCGTCGGTCATCATTGTCCGACATGGCATCCAATGTGTTAAGTGTTTATAAATTCCTTGTACTTGGACCCGAGCTGAAGAAGTGAAGATCAAGTCTTTTGAACTTTTCGAAGAAGGAGAACCTTTTGTTTACAGGGGCGGATATAATTAATAAAGTATGTTAGTGTACCTGGTCCCGGAAGGTCCTCTCGTATGGGATGGTGACGGACGAGTCCACGCTGCGGTGTCGGATCGTGTTGTTACCCGGACGTACTGGAACCAATAACATTACCATTATTATACACTAATCAAAGGAAATATTATAGTCATGCAAATCTGGAGTTGTATTCGATCGCTCTTTTACAGGGGAGATCTATAGTCCAGCAAAGGACACTCTGGGCTTTCGCAGAAAAAAAATCAGTGTTCCAAGAATGGAGCATATTGCCTACTCCATGAGAAAGGGGGGGGGCAAACAACACCCGCAACACCAGAGGAGCTACAAACGGCTCATAATCAAGATATACTTACATCCAGCAGTGAACTTGTCTAGTTCGATCATGCCTCGTCTCTGCTCATCGAACGACAGTAGCGCGCCATTCTCGTCCTGTACGGGCGCCATGAATATACGCACCGTGCCCATCACTGACTGACCTGACGTGTTGTTCACCTCGATACTAGACCAGGACAGGGAAATTTATTCATTGAAGATATTAATATTGAAGACACAGTGTCATGACACGTTAATTAAATTAAGATCCATTTATGCTCCAGGTATTAATATGACTGCCTCGTTGGCCGAGTGGTCGCAAGTGCGACTGCCAGGCAAGGGGTCTCGGATTCGATTTTTGAGTCGGGCAAAGAATTACTAGGTTTTTTTTTTAATCTCAGTAGTAGCACGGAGTCTGAAAATGTGTCCGGCATATGGCAATAGGCTCACCCCCTATTACATGGGACTCTTAATATTAATAATGAAAAGTGGGTGTTACATCTGTGTGCACCTCTGCCTACCCCTTCGGGGATAAACGGCGTGATGTTATGTTATGTTATCCATTTATAGCGTAATGTCATACATTACTAACAATTTGTCAGTCAGTCTTTTCTAGATTATTGACTTATAACCCTATAACTGCCATCTGAACAGGAGATATTATCCGGATGGCAGTCGTGTCGGTCTCATTAGCCACATTACTCGTTAATAATATACTGTAGGTGTTAGGTCACGTGTCTGTTGTCCTGTCTGACTAGATAGTCGTTTGCCTGTGTACCGGTATGTGCAGTGAGTGGTACGTACACGTAGGTGAAGTCCTGGTGCTGTAGATGCGTGAAGCGTGCGAGCACGGAGCCGCGCGGCGTGAAGTCGAGTCCGCGGCCGAGCTCCACGGTGCTGAGCTCCCAGAACGTGCCGAGCGTGTTGCGGCCGGCCGCGCCCTCGATGGCCACGCTCGACACGCGGACGCCGGGGAAGTCCAGCTGGACATGAAATGTACATAGATTCAATAATGTTTCATACATTTTACCGAATTCGATAATTTTGTGCCGAAAACAAATGGACTAAGGATTGCGTTAAGTAATCATTACAGTTAAAGGTTTTAAATGAATCGTATAAATATAAAACAGGAGAACAACCCATGGAATACTATATCAAACTACAAGAGGCTATAAGGACCTCTTATATTTTGACACCTTCAAATTATGTCTTACTTAATCAAAAGCGTTGGTGTAGGTACTGTTAGGTGCCACGTATAGGTTAATAAAAACCAAAATGTAAAATGTCCCCTATATATAAACTTTAAATTTACAAAACGGGCATTGATCAAGCTAACAACTAATGGATATCTCCTAATCCCCAAATCTCCTATTGTTTACGAAGTTCTGGATATTTTCATACATAAATATTACAGAGCTATGTAGCCCAACACAATACCTTGTCATCTCCGTACGGGTTGAGTTTGTACTTGTAGAGCTGGAACAGGTCGTCGATGTACGAGTGCCAGCGGTAGAACACTGGGTCACGCATGGCTGTGGCTGAGTCACCCATCACGCCGAATTGCTCCTACAAACGATAGGAATATGAGTTAGTTTTGCGTGACAAATTCACAATACCAGAAACCAACCAGAAACTAATGTGTTATGTTCCTACAGGTAATAGTAATATGGGTCAGATTTGCATGACAAAACAACATCGGTGACTTGTGCCTTATATAGTGGGTTAGTAAAATGCTTCCTTCGTAGTTCTCCATAGGAGAAAAATCATCTAACTGCGGAAACAGAATAAACAGTGATGCTATTTAGACAGCACAAAAAAGGGGCATTTAAAATAAAGTCATCAATTCTTTTAAATAGATGTTTTGGATGCTGTTCAACATCCAGTAGAGGTATTTAATGTGTAAAGCGCTTATCACAAGAAGATTTCAACTTTTTCTCCCATACATCTTTAAAAACAAATAGGATAAACTACAGTTTCAATCTAAATTGCGACACATAAGAGATTATAGGCTATATTACCAGGTGACGATGGTCAGGGTCGTGTGAGTATGAGATGAAGACATGTCCCATGTTGTGGAGGTCCCCGTAGTATGGTCGGTTGGGGCTGATGATGGACGACTCCATCATGTTACCCAAGATGTCGATACCGCGCTCCTCGTCTAATGGCATTTGACGTCCGTTGGCCTGAAGACAAATACAAACTGGATTAAGTACATATATGTTCTCTTTTTGGTCTTCAGCTAAAATATAAATACAAAGTACAAGTACAGAGCACTACGGGATGCAGGCTGCTTCCAACCGGCCTGTCTGGAAGTTATTGGAGGAGGCCTATGTTCAGTACTAGATGTCTTGTCGCTAACGATAGACCATAGTTGTTCTGCCTAACCAGAACTTCCAAAATCCAAAAGGCTGATAATGGTGGTAACCAAAAATGAAGTAACATATCATACTTCCACTAATTAGTCAAGAATTAAGAGCCAGTACTACAACCAACTAAAGAGATAGGGATGACAGCGCTCTCAATAAAGTCAATTTTATAAAGACCAAATATAAAGTATATTTTTGCAGATACTCACCAGCGTGACGGAGAGAGTTTCAACAGCTTGTACGAAGCGATCCCTCCAGGTCTCGAGCTGCGACACGTCGGCACGGATCTGGTCCACGGGACGGTCCAGGTCACGGATGGTAGTGCCGGCAAACCTGATGGCATGGTACCATGGTTAAAGAGTGCATAGAAATAGGTAGCTTATTATTTTTGATGTTGTTTAGACGGACGGTTCTAAGTGTTCTTCCTACTGGGGTCGTAAAAGCCGGTGAATGCACTGCATATTTAAAACAGGCCGGCAGCGCTTTCATATAAACCTGATCTTTTTAGTCTACCATCACCAAACCGCGCCAAGGTTATAACAAAACCCTTCGTTTGTAGGATAGGCGCATAGTTCAGCAATGGAATCTCACACTTGCTGTCTATGTGTGTACTTAGATATTCAGTAAGGAGGTGCTGTATACCTAGGCGGCCAAGCTCTGCTGGCGACCTGTGAGTCGAGCTTGGGGAAGTATCCTTCCTCGATGGGCTCGCGGAAGTTCTGGTAGCGCGCCACACGGGACAGGCCATTGCACATACGCTCCATGTTGTACCTGCAAAGTTTATTAGATATATTATACAATACATACTAGAAAGTTTAAAACTAGGAAACTCGTAATAGAGTATTAACTTGATCTCGCAGTATTGATCCCTGGACAGTGAGAATGATATCGGTATGAAAGAGTCCGTCAGACGTCTGTTCCCGATAAATTTACAAACTAAGGAAACGGAATTTGACTACAAGAAAGCCTTTCTTTACTGCCAAGTACAAAACAAATTGTGAAACTCCTAAGATTCTAGAAACAAAGCCAATTATGTATACCAACCTAGCAATGATCTGCTGGTGCATATAATAGAAGAGCTCTCCACGCCTGTCCTTGTTGACGATGGAACGGTCAGCGGAGTCGAAGGGGTACACCAAGTGCCAGTGCCAGTGGTGGAGGTTGATGCCAATGTCCTCGCGGAAGTATGCCACGCGCTGTTCAGGCTCCGAGTTGTTAGCCGTGTAGTTCACCGGGATCGTTACTGGCATCTGACGGAAAGAGAGATCTCAATCAGTAACACAGAATATTGTAAGGAACTTAAACACATAGGAACTTTGTCACCACTCGACCCCAGTGACATAGGATATGACTAGATAAGATACACATTCAGGAGACTGGACAGTTCTCTTTGATACACCGGAACCTTTTAAACTGCGATCTACAACAACCCGCCTTCCACATGTGGAGAATATAGCAAGCCCCTCTCTCTATACAGGAGGACTCTCACGGACTGGTGACGAAATACCACAAGTAGGTAACCAGAACATGTGTGTAGCTATAAGTACTTACCTACTTGTAATTAGATGATTACTCCAATCGACTTTCGAGTTTATTACAAACCAATAAAGTTATCAATCTATCTTTCACTTACCCTGACTCCTGATGTGACGACGTTGCTGACTTCCCTGGCCTTGCGGAACACCTTGGGGTCCATGAACTTGTCGGGGAAGGTCTCCGCGAACGTGGGGATGTTGAGTCCTTTAGTGTCGGGCCTAAACATAGGATGCTACTTTTGAATATGCCTTCTAATTTTGGATGAAGATTAATTATGGATATTGTGGAGTATGGAGTCTTTCTAAAACTTAGATCAATCAACACTTTTAGATAGTGAACCTAAATTTATTTCCTCGTTCCGAAGTTTTAAAGATTCCTATAAAGAAGAACAAACTCCTTGGTTACTCCTAAGAGCCTATTTAGTCCTAATTCTTGTCCTGCAACTGACCTGTGCAGAATAGCGACGGAGAGGCAGTAGTTGAACATGTACGGGTTGATGCGCAGCTGGCAGTACGAGCACACGGACTGCAGATCCTCCAAATCACGCATACCTGGAACACAAGGGACATGTATTAGATCCTACAGGTGGTTTATAAAAAGATCCTGTAAGTTATAGGTAAGATTTGAACTGTACACCATCACCAGTCTCTTACAATACTTTATGCAATCCAGGAAATAAATATCTGAATGGACGTAGCAGTTGGATATCGATTCAATTTGCATCCATTTTTACTTCTTCCCTCTATGCAATAACCAAATTCTAAGACTGAATAAATAGGTTTGTTCTATTTCTATATCTAAAGAACCAAAGACGGACTTACCCATGAAGATGTCAATGAGCTTGCCCGCCATGGCCCTGTGTTTGGGCACGAACAGAGAGAACTGGTCGTTGTAGGGCAGTTCCATGGGCTGCGCCAGGTTGGGCAGCGCGATGTTACGCACGGGGATAGTACGACCGGCGTCATCACCGAAACGGTTGGAGATGGTGCTCGATAGCGTCTTATACTTCTCCGGCTGTAATGTAAGGTTAAATCACACCTTGTCTTTCTCAAAAGAGTACCTTAGCTATAGAGAAGGTTTGAGCATTAATTACCATGCTTGCTCAAGACGTATATATTTTTTTTAAATAATCGTTGCCCCGCACTAGGATTTTCTACAACTTCTTTTCTATCTTTCATACAAGTTCACATATACAGGACACCCAGACCCGGAACAACAATTTGTGGAACAAAGAGGTGCAAAGAGTTGCTCCGTGCGGGAATCGAACCTACAACACGTTGCGCGGGAGCAACCGTGTTGTCATATTACAATGCATCATATTACAATAATGATGATGATGACGATTTCAGTTCCATCTTCGTTATGTCACTATTCTTATTCTTCTCATGAGTGTCATCATGAGAGACGACTAAGGGACTGCACATTTGAACAGAGACTCAGCAGCAACGTTCTTTGAAAATCCTGAACCTTTTAAGCTGCGATCCCCAGCCCGCCTGCCAAGACATACGGCAAACCCTTCTTAGGTAAAGGTAAAGGCCTGTACCCAATGTCTAGCAGTGAACTGTTACAGACTGTTATTGTGGAAGATGAAACAGACATGGTACTTACGTAGTAGTGATCAGGTATCTCGAAGACAGCCTTGTCATCTCCCTTCTGCATGAAGCACGGCTCCGAGGGCCGGTCGAAGAATAACAACAGGTTCTTCTTTGCGTCCGACATCTTGCATACTGGAATATTACATTAAATGAAATATGTACATACATCAGGGATGGATGAAACCTAATCTGCCCTTAAAATCAAAGTCAAAGCATTTGTTTCAATTAATCCTTATTTAGGCACTTTTGAAACGTCAAAAATTTAATTGTCCGTCCGTCTGTCTGTCAGTGAAGCTAGGCGCTCGATCCAAAGTGTAGTTTCGAATGGACAACTCGCAAGAAACATCATAATACCTTCATATATCGTATAAGTATTTATCTAATACCTTTAAACGAACAATTTTTATAAGTGTATATATTTATATGTATCATCTATCTTGGAAACGACTTCAACGGTTTTCTTGAAATTTTGTATACGTATTGGATTTCGGGGGCGATTAACCGATCAAGCGAGGTTTCTTTTTCAGAAAATGTCTATTACTAAAAAGCTTGGTCATCCAGCTACTCCAACTCCAATGATAACACCTATTTAAAGTTCCTTATGATAGGGTCTCTGTGAGCATTGACAATCAAATTCCTAACAATTTACTGATAAGAGAATTAAACCCGCGACTACATGTACATACTTGAACAACGAGACAATACTAGTAATTTTTGAAACACAACCATACAGTCTTAACTTCAGAAATTAGTATTGTTAACGACTTTTTTATACTTGATAGGCATACCTATAGCAATGACATGGCCGACGATGGCGCACGCCTAGTAACAAGCAACCTGTTCACTCGGGACTTGAAGACACCGAAGTTGTGTTTGTCAGGAAACAGATTCCAATAAGGTATTCCATTAATTAAAGGCACAAGAAAACTCAATGCGAAACTCTTCGTGCGAATGGGTGGGGTGGAATGTCTACCATACCTATAGGTAAGGGTGGTTACCCGCCATGTTCATATTTTAAGTTTTAATAAAACGTAATTAACTTAATTATTACCTGTGTTTACATACTACATGATGGTAATTCTACATTTCTACCTGCATAATACAAATAGGTACCTAAGTACCCAACAAATAGATATACGCAACAATAATGTGCGACAATATCAAGTATCGTAAGCTACAGTCACTACAACATGCATGCTCGGCATACTAACCAGGCAATATGGATTAAACAAGTATGGGCAGGAGGGTAACCGATAGTGATACCTATTACTACATGTATAAAGTGCAAAATAATATATTCGGAGCAGGAAATATATAAATATAATTGTTATAATTAATTACTTATTGGCTATTATTTTATTATGTTTAACAACTTATTCGAGTGACTGTTTGATGAGGAACTCGACTAGTTTCAAGCCATTTTTTTTAAACTTTGCCCCACACTAGGATTTTCTCCTGTGTCGTGGGTGCGTTTACAAACATACAAATTCACATACACATGACACCCAGACCCGGAACAACAATCTGTGGATCACACAAAGAGTTGTTCCGTGCGGGAATCGAACCCGCGACACATTGTGCACCAGCCGGTTGCCCAGCCACCGCGCCAACCGTGCAGTCATATTGGGGCCTATACATATTGTTATGTTATTAAACTTTCGTAATATAACTCGCTTTACTTGTACAGCTAAGCTTAATAAGGGTTTAGGTTACTTAGGAATATATTTCTTATCTTTCAGAAAAAACGTCCTCTCATGTGTAATATCATACTCGAAATCCGCACTCGTAACTAATAAGCAAGTCTAGGACAGGTTACTTTTACCAGATAACTGTGGTAATATCAAAATGATCGTAGAAAAGAAATTCATAGGTAAACCACAAATTACAATAAGGGGCAAATAAATGGAGCCACTAGCGGATTTCCTTCATTTTATCAAACTCCCTATAATTGAAAAAAAATCCTTTGCTCTCAATTTAAAGGTAACTAAATTGCCTTTAACTATGCTATCAATTAATAAAACGCTTGTATCAGAAAATATTTATCAATAAATGAAAAATAAAAAATGCTAATGACTCCTTTCTTTGCTGCCAAGTATATCTACAACATACAGCCAAATTAACAAAACAGCACTTACCACAAGACTTTCAGCAAAAAATACAAAAAAGAACTAAATAAAATTAATGAAATAAAAACTATTTTATTTTAGTTTCAAGCCGTGAGTACCACGGCTCGACTATGGTCCTCCACTTCTCGAAGCTATGTTTTATACAAGTCCTTTGCACACGGAGACAGGAGCCAGGAGTCAGGAGCTCGTGTGCAAAGTTGGTGCCATGTGACTTAGCCTGATAAGCCAGGTTGCAGGATATTCGTGGTCAGGTTATCGTGACCGCGGTGCTGATAGGGACTCAAGTATAACCTAACCGGCATAGTGATAATGATGTAACTTCAGCTAGTTAGTTGACCTTGGAATAGGTAGGTCCCGATCCTGTATGCGTAGTGGGATAAAAATTGGCTTAAGTTACCTCCACTTTGAAATATTGGTGTACTTTCAATATTATTGCGAATTTCAGTACCTAACTGAATATCAGTTTGCCGGACATGACGATAGTTTGAACTTAAAATTTCACATTTATTTAACAGTCGTCGTACGAACCTGTGAGAATATAGGTCATCTTAGATTAAAATATACTAAGTTACACGTAGGAGTGTAGGTACCTATATAGCAAGACATAATTCTAAAACATAAGTCTAAAACATTCACAAAACTACTAAATTATGTTTATAGTCTAGCATTGCGGTACTACTAGCTATAAAAATGTATAAAAATCGATACTAAAGGTAGCCAGTACCTATAATACAGTGAATACACGCTCCTCGCAGCCCCCGCGTGTCACAGCGGATATTTTAATACAAATAATTAAACCGCGACCTAGGCCCCGGCTCCAAGAATAACTGACACGCAGGTACATGTGACAGGTACCTCAAGGACAATCACATGTGTCCTTGTAAAAGTTATAAAAGTCGACTTTGTGTTACAATTTTAAACTAACCCTTCGACTCCGGTTATGCTTGCTTATTTGGTAAAGATTTTGTGCAGTCCACGCTATGATAAAACACAGCGAAAAAATTATAGTGAAGCAAGGTTTCTTCGCAGGTTCCGTGCGGGTTTCCTCTGCGTACCTACCTTTTGAGGAAATGAGAATAATGTTAGATGTGAATATTGTATTGTTTACCTAAGCACTTGCCGGTTCTCGATAAGTAAAAGGTACACATTCATGGTGATTGGTAAGAAATATTATCCATCAAATGATCAAATATAGACTACAAGGCAGACAGTTCTATCAGGTAGATACTATAAGTATCTCAACTCAAGTACTAGCTTTATTGATTACCCTTATTTATTTTATTTTCAGCCATGATCGTCCCACTGCAAGGCAAAGGCCTCCCTACCCTCCTTCCACTCCTCTCTATGTAAAGCTTTTTGCGGCCAATCCTTGTCATAGATGTCTAATTCGTCCCGCCATCTCCTTTTGGGCCTGCCACGACGTCTACTGACGTTGAGTGGGCTCCACTCAGTAGTAACTTTTGCCCACTGCTCGTCTGATGTTTAAATGATTAGATGAGATTATTTATCAAATTACCCTTAATATTTCTTATTATAGAGTAGGTACTTACCGGCACTACCGCCAAGTTTAATTTATAATTTACTTTATCAAAATAAAATTAATAAGATAAAATGCAACGAAATAAACAGGAGGCTACGCGTCATCATCGAATACCTTCTCCTGCCTAGGTGAGGTGGGAGGGAGTGTCAGACTCTTACTGACTAAAAACGACCCTGTTCCTACTCCTGCCCTTCGAGCCGGAGCCCCGGTAACCCGTTAAGTCCTCAGCAGGTTACGCGTCATAAGATAGAATACATCACTACTATCTATGCGTCCTACGCACAACGGTAGTGTGACGTCATGCGATTATCGATCTGATGCATCGCCATCAATGTTTTATTTTTATTTTTATCTGTCTAGAATAATTTAGGTAACAGGTGGACATCAAAATTAGTCATCACCTAATCAGCGCCATCATTACGTAGCGATTATTGATTGCAAGGAATGTGTTAATATTTTTGCATACTTACCTAGGTAGGTACTATACAACTTAAGCAATTTGACTAATTAGCTGAGAGACCAAAGTTCCAACTCCTATTGCGAAGATCGATACATTCCGAGTTTAGTCCTCGAGTAGGTACCTAAATAAACTCTTAAATTGGCATCTCTGTCTCAGTGCAGTACTTACCCCTGCTTACAGTGCAACAAGGACTAATGTTGTCTTTAAAAATATTTCCAAATTACGTTATTTTAGGCATTAATTAAAGTTAACGACGACGAGGTTGCTTCACTAAACTATGTAAGATAGGCACTATAGACACATAAATCACTTCCTACCCGTCGTTATTAGAGGCTACACCCATTTTTGCCAGTCATGGTATTTAGGGGGCGAGCTCGTTGCCTTACAACATTTAATCTGTTTCTATCCATCCATAAACAAGTTATTCACGTTAAAATATCTAATGATGAAGAAGAATGTTTGATTTTTAAAACGATAAACTAAACTAGAACTGCCGGCAAGCAACGCTGACCTATTTAAAAAAGTTTCCGTGCAAATGTAGCAGTGTCTATAATCTCATTTACAAGCCTCTGACTTCCAGCAGATAACTCGCTTAGTGGCTAATAAGCTAAAAAAGAAAATGCTTCACCTCGCACCTCGTACCTTTGCTAAGAGCTGTGCTTGCAAGCGGGGTTATTAATGTAGGATTTTTCATCAAATAGGTACGCTACAGCACATGAACTAGTTAGATGTACAAATAACATAACATTATGCCTTTTATCCCCGAAGGAATGGGCCGAGGTGTACACTATACAATGTAACACCGATATTCTCTCTCTCAATGTTATAAGATGTAAAGATGTCTGCGTAAGTCCTTTAGCCGTTATGTAAAATATTGTGATAGAGTAGAAGCTACTTAAGTACCCACATACATGGACAGTTACCTATTACATGCTTACTGAACAATAAAACATGAAGCTACATACTGTAGGTACCCTACCTATGCACACACGCGGATTTATCGATTACAGGTGAGCGCTAAACTGTTACAAGCTCAGGGTTATTGTCGATCGTCACAGCGGCATAGTAGCGGCCCTAATTGACCTATTTATTCAACGATGAGTAAATGCAAAGGGATTACTATCTTACATCTAGTTAGTACCTACATATTTTTAAGCCTAGTAGCAAATTGCATAGGTATAACTTAATCTTAGGATTCATGGAGGTCTAAATATACGCTACCTTCTGTAGTATAAAATTTGACGGTTTGAAAGGAAATTATTATTCTAGTAAGAAAATTAAGATAAGAGTACCTAATATAATATATCGTCATACACCTTATCCAGTTACGGTTTGATATTCATAGTAACGATTGATAAATTATTCTAGGTAACTAGATACAGCTAGGTGTGTGCTTAATGGAAAATTGATTTATTTACTTATGTACATAATGTGTACATAATTCCTTTTACCGCAAAGTAATAAGGAATTAATTCAAAATAACCACTTATGTGAACGATTCGAGGAAAACTACAAGTTTTAGGTTACATCGGAACGTTTATTCTTGAGACTAGCGGGCGCGGTTTTTTCAAATATTCCACGTACGAAGCCGTTATTTATAAGTAACTAGCTTTTACCCGCGGCTTCGCTCGCGTCACAAAAAGATAAAAAGTAGCCTATGTGACATATACCAACACACACAGCGCCGTCTATACCAATACTTTTGTTTTCCCTCGGGAATATCAAATTTTTCCGGGATAAAAAGTACCCTGTTATTTAATCCAGACTTCTAACTTTACGTCTGCAAAAATTCAAAGCAATCGGTTTAGTAGCTACGGAGTGAAAGCGGAACAAACAAACAAACTCATTTTCCGATTTATAATATTAGTAAGGATTTTGTGCATGTCATTTTGTGAATACGTTAGTCATTACGTACACAAAATTATTTCAGGAATATTACTAAATTGTTATTTAAAATTTCGTTGCAAAACAAAGCCGTGGTATTTGTTAAAAGGCGCATGCCATCAGCAATGTGACCATGACATTGTATAATTTTGAAATTAACATGCCTACTAAATTAAATGCAAATACCATAATTACCTAGGTATATTTATTACTACGTTTTACTTGGTTAATTTACAAAATAGTGTAGTTTATTAAATATCTTTGTGAAAAATTCAGACCGGCTCAGTCAAATAAACTAAAGGTATAGGTAATTTATCCCCTAGTACACGTTTGCCTAGAGATAGTCTTCCTAGTTATCTCTATAGGTGGGTACCTAGACTGGTACATATGACTTGTGTTATTTTTTTCGCAATAGCGAGGCTACGCTACTACCTAATAGGATAGGTAACAATACAAAGTGGAACGAATGAATAATATTACCTCCTACTAATCAACAATTTGCTGAGTAGCGCACAAGGCTACGTTTCGCTTGTTCTAATTAGTATCTACACGCATATTTGTGGGTGAGCCATAATTATATTCTTAGTGCTCTAACCAGTCTTTCAATGCCGAATTTTGATCGTCAGCGGCAGCTTCAGCGCAGCAAGAAGTTCTTATCTTGTGATGTTCCATTCCTCCAGAAGAACCGATGCCCGTTCGATATTTAGGGTGGTAGTGAAATAAATACCTTGCGCAAATTGCGCTTACGCCGATGCCGCGCTGTTGCGACCTCATGCTCTTAACTGGCTTTTTCCTGATCAGGCACTGTGCTGCTCCTCCAAGCGATGGAGGAGCAGCAAAGCTTTGAAACGAGCACCCCGTCATTAGCTGGTTCAGGTAAGCGCAGTCGTGGTGCAGATTACTTCAAAATGGGAGTTCGAAGAGTTTTATGTCTCAAACTAACTCACGACTAGCTGCTGCGCAACGTGTCTCACGTTCGGTTCCGGCACGCAACAAATCGTGTGCAGGGCGACGCAGAGATTATTCAGTGTGATGTCAATGTGAAATATGATTTATGTCATTATGTGTACCTAAAAGAAAATAAAACTACTAGTGTGTAGTAGTATGGTAAAGTGCTATCTGCAACACAGTTCATAAAAAACCTATCCCTACAGAGTTATGTTTTGTAAACTATGTCCAACATGCTGAAATGGGATAATTTGGAGTAAAAAAATATAAAGAAAATATATTGGTTTGTAAGAAAGTTTAATAAAGAAGTATTGAAAAATATTTTCACAGGGTGTATTAACAAAGAAATTAAACAATAAATTTAGTTATATACTAACATATGACTTTTACGCTATGCTAGGTAATAAGTCTAGGAATAATTAACTAAAATTTTTAATATAAATACACTAGAAGTGAATGTATTACCAAAGTCAATATCGAGTCTTAAATATAGCTAACACAGTACAAACATACATCGAGTGCGCCGGGGACTAAGAAGTGAAGAGATTCGACGCAGTCCAGCATCGTTAAATAATAAACAGTGGGCTTGAGGCTAGTCCTAGTCGCGTGGCGTGCCGCACTCACCCAGTCACCAGTCACACACACACACTCGCGCGCCGCCGGCGGCCCGCGGAGCCACTCGTCGCCCGGTAATACTGCGTCTGTGCTAACAACATAAAATTTTGAAGGGGCACAGCCCCGCCTAGCCGCTCTTGAACAGCAAGATGGCCACTTGGCCCAGGTAGAAGTAGATGAAGTGGCGCGTCTCATGCGTCACGTACGAGCCAAAGTTGCGTCCCACGATGCAGTGCCACGTCGGGTTGTACTTCTTATCAAACTCCTTCTTGATGAAAGCCGCGATGTCCTGCAAACAACCAGTACCCATCTAAGCATGTTACCACTCACCAAACAAACTTCATTCAATAAACCCAACTTGATTCATTATTCATTAATTCATAATGATTGTGAGAGATCATAATTACCAATTTAGTATTTACTCACAATTTACCTATTATAAATTACACTAACCACAACAGGAAAACCTCAAGTTTATCTTTGGTGGGAACTGCACACCGAAGCTCATTGCGACAAAAATTTATGTTAATTTCAATTGTAAACATTAAAGTATTGTTTACAAATTATTGTTGCTATACAGTAGATTAATACTGGAAAAATAAACGACTATGTGGCTGTACTTGGACTTACCTTCTCAATGTTGAACTTCTCTAACGCCTGCGTTGCACAGTCCACAGCATCCTGCTGCATCTCTTCGCTCATATCAGCATTTTTGATCACCGCCTTGCGGTCGCACATCTTGTCAGCTATGTGTCTAGAGAACATATACTTGTGGTGAGTGATTTATTATTAACTTAGATTTTCCTAATTACATTTGACATTTGATGCCCTAGTTATTATATAGTAAATAACAATAAGTCGCAATATTAGATAGTGGCTTGTTTTTCCACTATCTTATCTTTCCCCAGTCAAGTAATAGCATGTCTCTGCCTGATATAGCGAGGAATCAAATCATTTTCGTGCCTTATCAAATATTTTGTCAAAAATTACTCGAAATACATTTTTTTTTAATGTAATGATTTTGGTTTTAGTTATTGTGGGTTACAAAAGTAGGGCTGTTAAATTAACAAATCAAATGCAGCTACTTGTTGCAGTAGATGGCCTTAGTGCTAGAGGTTATAGTTCCTGAACCGCGTCGATAACATTGATTTTCTACGTGCCCTCAAGGGGGAACACACTGATTGTTTTATTCAACAACAAAGCGCTATTAATAACTACCATAAAAGGTCAAGCGCGAAATCCGGGACTAAATGCGCGCCCTTTACATATGAACCCTGCCTATGAAAAATATTCCAATGAGGGAAAATTTAAAACGGTAGTATCTAATAGGACTGCGTTATTACTTGGCGCATCTACGTTACCCACCTGACCTCTTCCACAAGCTGCGACGGTATTTTCGTAGTAATTCTAACGGAAGCACTAGCACTAATGCCCGTCATCAAAACTGATAGGAGAAATTAGGAACGCGGCACCGACATGTAATTTGGCTTAGCGATTCAAAAGATAATGATAATTCATCATATCGCAGATTATCACTATAGAAACAACATGGTTAAATCAATAAAACCATTTTGTTGCACATCTTTGCGAATATTTGCAGAAAATAAATTGTTCCGCCTGTAGACTTTCGCACACCATTTTGTGAATAATACTATAAATTATGGAAAATCATTCACAAGGAATATTTAAAATGAATAACAATAAATAAATAACCACTAAAATAAAGAAATACTCACTTTGCTTCGGGATAAAGAACAAATTCTCACGTAAAGATTTTGATAACCGGAGATTCAATGCCTACTTTCCAGAGGATTCTTTCACAGGCTTCTTTCAGCAAAGATTTCTTCTAATTGCGACAGAGGGCGTTCCAAATTCAAACATATTCGAAAAATAAACTTTATGGCATATTTTCAAACATTTTATTTTTGGCCAATAAATTATTAGACAAGTAAAAAATAATGTCGTTTACAGAATTTTCATAAAATAGGTAATGGTTTTTGCCATTTACCTCTCCATAAAAAGATTCATTTATGTTTGACGGTAAATTTTCATGTTTTCGGAATGACATTGTTTAAAATTGAAATTTTACTGCATACATACGTCATTATAAAATTTTAAGCTATTTAAAATATAATTTTAGTTCCGATTATTAATTTTAATTTTAATTTCGATTATTTCAGACGAAGAAAAAAATTAAGCGATCCATCCATAGACTACACAGCGTACTGTCAAGTCAAGCCGCATCCGTTTCCTTCTTATGAGCTGTCAGCTAGCCGGGTTGGTTGATCAAATCAGACGCCATATTTGATAAGAACGCGATTGAAACGTTGAAGCGTTACCTAAGAATTCACAAAAATAACGCTAAGTTACTCTCAATTTGTGCATAAAATAAATCAAAATGTCTGGCGGAAGCAGCAGCAATAGAAATGAGTGCAGAATATACGTCGGCAATCTTCCTCCCGACATAAGGACAAAGGACATTCAAGATCTATTTTACAAGTTCGGCAAAGTTACATTCGTGGATTTGAAAAACAGAAAAGGACCACCATTCGCTTTTGTAGAATTTGAAGATCCCAGGTAATTATTGATTTTGAAGTGTTGTGTTGTACAGAGAAAATACTTAATTTACGAACTTGCTATGACTGAACAGTGGTATTTTTTGTGTTGTGTACACGCACAGACATACAAAATTGAAGCTTTTAGTGCTGTAGAATAACTGACCTAATTTCCATCCCATATATCTTGTAACAATTACATATTTTGTAAAAAAGTTACCTAAGTTCAATGATCAAGAATGACGTGCATGAAGCAGCCATAATGAATTTGTAATTAGATGAGGAGGGAAAATTTAACAATGATAATAATATTATGAATATCACTACTATTAATTTCTATCATGTATTATTTAGTGATCAGTAATTATTACACAAGAGAAGGTAGTAAAGAATAATTTTAATTGCTATGAAAAATAATATAATAACATATTTCACTGAACACTGGATGTATGTCATCCTCATATAAAAGCAATGTGATAAGTAATGAAACCAACAATAACTGTATTCAAGAGATAAAGCATACAGTGTAGTAAAGTGTGTCACTGAATCATATAATATGAAGTCAATTATGACAAATAGACTCATACATTGTCAATTGGATAGTTTTTTTTGTGAATGCTGTTCTATGAAGAATTACGGCCGAATTTATTAATACAAAATCTGAATTAAACTATGATCTGGATTGTTCCCAATTTTTTGACCGAACCTGCATTCAACTTATGTCGTAAATCACAAGTATCAATTTAGTTACGGTCATTAGGCCTAATTGTCATATGGGGATTTATAATTTCTTTTAACCCATACATCCCCAAGCGGTCACTTCCCACCAACTAGTGGAGAGTGTAAGGTCTTATTTCCAATGTTTAGAGACTACTTTCGTATGAACATATTTAGGGGATGAATTTCAACGGGTTAAGATCATGGCATTTTTAGTTATCGTCATATTACAAGCAAATTCTATTTCTTAATCACTAGTAACCTAGTAATGTTTACTCGTTTAATTCCATTGCTGATAACAAGGCATGTGATGATAAACAAATTGTGTTGCCTGTGGCATTATCTATCAAGTCTTGTTTATGACAGACTTTTAATATCAGTTGATCTTAACATAAATATTTCTTTGATTATTTTGCTTTGTTTTTGAAGAAGAATATGAACATCATTTATTTCAAATAGATATAAAAAATAACACATTGTTAACACTGTCTAACCTCTACAAATCCATCAGCCTTCTGGAAAAGTGTTTTTGCTGTTTCATCAGCATCATCATCATCATTAATAGCTGGAAGATGTCTACTGCTGGACAAAGGCCTACCCCTTAGGTCACGTCAAATGACAACTCATCAAATATTTACCGAGCAGAAATGTGTACCTACATATTATTCCTCCATCTAATTGTAGACATATCTGTAATTCCATGATAAACTATACTTTATATTTCCTAACCTCATGAAATATTAACTAAACAACCACTTTTTTGTTGACAGAGATGCAGATGACGCAGTCCGTGCTCGTGATGGCTATGATTATGATGGATACCGCCTACGCGTAGAGTTCCCACGCGGCGGAGGGGGCGGTGGTGGCCGGGGAGGCCGTGGAGGCCCTGAGCGCTTCGGAGCACGCACCGCAACAAGAGGCCCACCCGCCCGCCGTTCTGAACATCGCGTACTTGTCACTGGACTGCCCCCTTCAGGATCCTGGCAGGATCTAAAGGACCACATGAGAGAAGCTGGTGATGTCTGTTTTGCTGACACCTTTAAAGATGGCACCGGTGTGGTTGAGTTCTTGCGCCATGAAGACATGAAATATGCTGTCAAGAAGCTGGATGATTCTAGATTCAGGAGTCATGAGGTAAGACTTGCTACAGGCATAAATTAAAAAATAATACTATGTTTTATTTCCACATGTAAACCATTCGTCTACAATTAACTACTACATTATCAAGTTCCCCCTAACATGGAAAGATACTTCCCTATCTACAACAATTATCACGCGATGGTTTCGATTATTGCGCCGAAAACTTTGTGAAGTCTATTAATAAGTTCCGAAGCACAGGTAAAATGGTGGCTTGCCTGTGAACATTCATATGTACACATTTTATTGATCCAACTCGGTTACAAGGGGTTCCACCCCAGGCATCAAGCTATGACTACCTATGACTCATTGAACAAGGTTAATGACCTGTAATTATGTTAATAACTTGGAATATTCATTTAATGTGAAATAAATGTAAAATCATTTTTTGTAAACTGTTTTGCATTATGTATCTTAATACATTATGAATGTGTGTGATGGAAAAGTGGAAATACTCATACATAGTCGGTTTCTTGATGTATAAGATAAACAAATGATTGTGTCTGAGGTTAATACTTCCTATACTCATTTGGATATCATAATTTAGCAAACAATGTGTCTCAAGTGATGTCCTTCGCCTTTTTTAATTGACAATGTCTTTAATTAAGTCTCTGATTTTATTGTATTATAATTTCAACATTGTTTTTTGTTCAGGGCGAGGTATCATATATCCGCGTCAAGGAGGACTACGGTGGTGGCGGCGGCGGTGGCGCTGACCGTTACAGTGGGGACCGAGACAGGTAAGCAAGTCAATTTTAGTCTACAAACACAAATGTTACTGTTAACTTTCCATGGACCATACCCAATTTCTAAACTCAATTGTATACAAAACGAAATATTTCAGTATAAATATCATTGGAACTTGTGAATGCAAAGACAATCGATTGCTCCTCATTGTTTTCAAAAAATCTTATTTGGTTTAGTATATGTATAGTAACGCATGCAGTTTTGTGACATTGTCATTAGAGATGTATTGAATGACCGGTTGCAGGTCCCGGTCGTACTCCCCGCGGCGGCGCGGGTCGCCGACGTACTCGCCGGTGCGGCGCAGCTACTCGCGCTCCCGCAGCCGCTCGCGCTCGCACAACTACTGAGACAGGTCGGTACACCACACCACTGCCCTCATCCCAGCCATGTATTACGTACATCAACTGTAACGCGAATACAACAATAACCCATCATTCGCAATGGGAATACATTCTGTAGTCACATAATTGTGCATTTATAATATCGAGGGAGCCATTAGTTGAAGCTAATAGCTTTGCACAAAGTATTCACCATTTTTTGGTTTTAGATATAAAAACGTAACAACTAATTAAATATATTACACAAACAAATATAAATAATAATATATTATTCTGATTATGCTATTACCTTACATAAATTTTGTGGTGTAAAGTCATTGCTCAATTAGTCATAAATTACTACATCTAACAAATATTACAAATTGTAGTTAACTTACGGCTTGTTGTTTACGATATTAGATTATAAATCAACATATATTTTTAATCAAAAACATGTTTTTGTAATTGTTATTCTGAATTTGAAATATATTTTGGAAATATTGTCACGCAAGCCACAGCTATATTTACAGTAATGGAAGGATTCACTGGATATAGCAGTTGTCAGCTTGTTGAAAATAACACTGGACTACTCAGGACTTTTGCAAATAATTGAAAATATCTCTGGACTTGAGGATTTGGATTGTTACTTAAGGATTTGGATTTCATGTGGATTCATCAAGGTTTGCGGGACAGACATACTTGGCAATGGTATCATTGAGACTTAGCTTTATCAATATTCAATACTCTTTGGTTTGTTTTGCCTTGCGTAACTCGTTTATTTTGTGCTTAATATCAATAAGTTCTCAATATTTTATATCTTAGACCGAAAGACTGATTATTTTTATAGATTAATATTTTTTTTATTTCGTTTATATTATAATAATCATATAAGTACAGCTATATTCACATTTATATCTTGTACTAATTTTTTTCAATTCAAATCATTATTTTTGAATTAATCTGAATTCAATGAAATCTTTGAATTTGATGAGGAAGCAACTGAATCTCAGCCCTTACTCATCGTCATCACTGAGCACATTAGTAACTACATGGAACCTTTACTAACGCGACGCCTACTCGCCAGTCTGTGGAACTGGTGGTTGATGATAATGTCACTTGCATGTGTGAGTGGTTCCATGTGGTTAGTAGTCGTGCCGTCCCAGGGCATGTGAACTGAAGGTCTATATTTCGACAGCGGACGGAGCGACGGCGCCGGCGCGGCAGCGGACAGCCTCACGTAGATATAAGACATAGATGTACATTACACTGCGGGACGACATCGCTGCTATACATACTTTTACATACAATAACCTTTTATGTGATACAGAGTAGATAGGAACGATGCTGGACTGATTTTAACTTTGAGTTATTGGTAATAGACCTTTAAGAACTCTAGATGATGCAGTATACATAAATTGATAAACTATTATTTTGTTGACAGCAACCTAATTCATGGTTAAAATTGGATGGAGAGTTGTTTCTACCTACATCGTTCCACTGTGACCATGTAATGAGAGGTACTCGGATGTCGTCGTAGTAGTGTCTAAAATTGGAAGTAAATATAATATTGGGATTGAAGGTGCACGAGCTGTGTCGTCCGGCGCACGTCCACGTCGCCGTCTGCGTCCCGCGCCCATCGCCCGGGCGGGGCGCAGCTCGCGACGCGGACGACCCTCGATTACATTTACAAGATGACTGTTTATAATTAAAAGCATTTTCTTTTGTTTCATCCTCTAATGGAAATCATTGGATGTGCTTGGCTGGAGGTGTGAGTCAGGATGCCGTAGAGGCCTCGCGTGTAGGATCGGATCGGATCGGACCGCACCGGCGGATCTCTGGCGGACATTTGAATATTTGTCGCGTGGATGTATTGTTCCTTTTGGATCTTGGATTTGATCGTCGGCGCGGCCGGCACTTCGCACCTTCCGCGCTGGACAGGATCAGGACCTTTGGGTATGACATTCAAATTAATTGCAAAATAACTTATGTTGAGTGCACGCTCGGTACAGAGTATTAATGTTTGTTTGGATATCCTTAACTCACACTTTATTTGCTTCTCGATGTCTGCCGTTTATTTCCTAGACGTAGGACTTCGGTTCAATGACGATTATGAGAGATATTTTCTATTAGCTTTGCTCATTAGTGTGTTAGAACCTAACAACTCAGTGTCATATATAAATAATTAGCATGCTTTACGAGCTTTTCATACAAACCTACCTGCGTGACAGCGATACGAGACGTGTGTTTGAATGGATGACCGCAATTGATAGTTTTAACATTGACATGTAATTGATACAGATTGTAATTGTGAGATGTGATGTTAGGAACACAAAGTTAAATCACAAATGTATTGTAAAGTGTGCGTCGCGGACGCTCGATATATCATAGATATAATGTGTGGACATACATATTGTAATATAGGAACTGGATCAGCATTCCAAAGACCAACGCACTTTGATGGACTTAATAAATTCCTTACAAAAGAATCACTGCATTATTATTTCTAACTGCTAATTCCCGCACCTCATCAACTTTGATTTTAATACTATTATATTGCACTACAAGATGTGGTCTGTGGAGGAGAAACAAATAAAGGAAACAAACAACACGACTCAATATAAATACCGCCTATATTTACAGTCACCTAAATAGTATAAAACTTAACAAGCAACAAGTCTGATAGCCACTATATCTTGAACCCGGAGTGTATGGCGCATGTACCAAACGTCAGGTTTTCATAGGTCACCTGTCGGAAGCCGGCGTCTTCTATCATTGATTTGAACTTCTCCTGTGGAAAGGTGAACATGTTTCGTAAGAATATAACACACACACAAACTATTCATTCATGTTGTCCAATAATAATGAAGCTTATATGTATCAATATTTAGTATGTACCTGATTAGGAAACTGTCGTATGCTCTCGACGAGGTACTGGTATGGCTTCCACTGTCCTACAAACAGTTGCCCCAACACAGGGATCACTTGGAACGAGTATTGGTCGTACACCCTGCAAAACAAAACAATTTAGTTTTAGCGTTAATATGACTTGAATGCGAAGGGCTGGGTTCGATCCTAGGACAAGGCAACATATCTTGATCTAGCTGTCGCTAAACGCACGAGGGTTTGGGTTCAATGTCCAGACGTTTTCTACCGCTAGAGCACCGACAGCCTTCTATAAAGATAATACCATGATTTTATGCATACAAATGAATTTGAATTTCGAATTAGAAGAAATACTAATACTGTCAGTAGCAACAAAAAGAAACGTCTCATGGGATATAAGAACAGGATACATTGTGCCTCAAATCGATAAGTTAAAAAGAATCTAGGTAGGTAAAAGAATCATTCAATCAATCATCATCTAGGTAAACAGAGGGTAAGTATACATACCACTGCAGAGTGTCGTTCGGCAGTTGACTGAACTCAAGGCACATGAAGCGACCACCAGGCGTCAGAACTCTATATGCTTCCTCCAATACCTGTAGAACACGTATAGAATAGACCTGATGTTATAATTTGCGGTAGTTTATTGTAAAGTTGGCGCATTGACTTTGTGAAGTGGACGATTTAGTACTGCGAATCAACGAAACTTGTGTCGTGTGGATTCCATAGCAGTTGTTTTAGACGTAAGTAGATGTGATATGCACCCACTACAAAAACTAAATTTTTTTTGGTTTATTTTTATTACGTAAAATGTTTTGATCCGAAAAATGAAACTATGCTAAGTATGTGAAAATAAAATAGTTCAGTTAGGTACCTTGTCAATGTGAGTGCAGTTCCTGATCCCGAACGCGATGGTGTATGCGGTGTAGCTGTCGTCGGGCAGGTCGAGGCGCTCCGCGTCAGCACACTTCCAGTTTATCTCCACACCGCACGACTGTGGCGTGTAGCCTAGTCTGGAACAATACGTATCATGAACATCATAAACTTTAGACATGTACTAAAATCCTGTTCTGTTCGATGATAAACTCAAAAAATGCTGAATTGACTTTAGATCGTAAGAAAGTTGGAAGTGCGAGTATTGAGCAACAGTTCTCGAGTTTGCAGAGAGGCATTTTCGGTATTTCCAAAAGTTCACAATGGTAGCATGGAGTCTAGGACAGGACAAAGTATGGCTAAGCTTATTTATATTACACTAGCTTTTACCCACGGCTTCGCTCGCGTCATAAAAGGATAAAAGTAGCCTATGTGACATATAATCTATAACAATACTTTTGTTTTCCCTCGGGAATATCAACTTTTTCCAGGATAAAAAGTACCCTATTATTTAATCCGGACTTTTAACTTTACGTCTGCAAAATTTCAAAGCAATCAATTTAGTAGTTACGGCGTGAAAGTGGAACAAACAAACAAACTCATTTTCCGATTTATAATATTAGTTAGGATTGTTTTCGTAACACAACTGGTAAAAGGTTAATGTAAGATACTCACATAAACATAGACACAAATCAGGTAGGTATGCACCTCTGAGCCAAACTTAATGATCTGACCCTCCAAGTCATACAATTAAACATGAAGTACGATTTAGAGGGTCAAGTTGTATTCAAAATGTTAAAGCATAATAATTATTATTCAGGAGAACAATAAATAACTGTTCATCTTATAAATATGCAAGTAATGATTCCCTAAAAATATAAGTAATTGTCTACTTGTGTGAAATTAACTTATACTAAAGGTCAGAATTACCAAAACAATGACTACTTACATTCATACAAAAGTTAACACTTTTCAAGAAACAAAAATCAATTAACACATATTACAGCTTTTTAACCTGCTATTTCTTCAATTAATTTTTAACTCTGTTACCTAACCATTTGGTGCAGTTCAAGTATAATATAAAACCAAACATACTTCTGTGCCCTCTGCTTGCCAACATCCAACATGGCCTGGTTGATGTCACACACTGTGACACTGCTGTGTGATCCCTGTGAGGGGCCCAGGTTCTGCAGGTACTTAATGTATCTGAATGCTATGTCACCTGGAATATAATATACAAAGTGCATTAGAATAGCAATAACAGGGTTCACAAGGATGGAACCAAAATAGCATTTATTAAATATTATGTTTATTTATTCAAAGGGGTGTGATAATTCCACAACTTCCCCAACAAACTTTGAAAAGTAAATGAAATTAAATGGTCTCACCTGTCCCACCAGCCATGTCCAATAATTTAGTCTCTGGTTGTGGTGCCAGCCGGCACATGAAGATGTCTTTCCACATGCGGTGGATGCCCACAGACATCACATCATTCATCAGGTCGTACTTCTCAGCTACAGTTTCGAATACTTCATGTACTGAAATGTGGAAACCAAGGTTAGATCAGTGAGTTAGTTTCAAGTTAATTTGGGAAGCCTTCATAAAATTGATAGGTAACTTAAAATATTTCAGACAGTGCCTGGGTGCTAAGTAAGCTGAAGTTGTACAAGAATAGCACTTTAGTTATTTTTTTTATTCAAACATTTGAAAATTAAGTAGTTTACCCTTTAGAGGGTTATTCATAATTAAGAAATTTTGTACAAAAACTGAATGAAATAATCCACTTTTAGTGTAGAGAGAACTGACGACCGATACAGAGAATTAGAACACATTACCTTTTTTAGTTTTCTCTTCCTCATCAACGACTTGGAATCCGAAATGTGTTTGACCGGGTTTTATTTCTTCCGTCGCAGCCGCAGGGCCCTCCTTGGTGGATGTTTGAGTACTCATGACACGGAGCCTTGATGCTTGCTGCGTTAAACATCGTAAGTTGGATAACCTTATTAGACCTGTTCTTAATGCCATCATTAATTATTGAAATATTTCAAATAGTCTGTGAGATAACCAAATTACTAAACACGAATGAATAAAAATCACTGGACCAGCTGATTATTCCAATGAAGTTGACTGACATGACATTGACAGTTGGCATTTGTCAGTATTGCGTTTTATTATTGACAGTTTAAATGTTTTACAAACGATTTTTTTTATTTGATGTCTTTTTCGCTCGAATATTGAAAGGCAAACTCTATAAGGGTCTGTTAATTGTTTGAAAAACCGACACAACGGTCATTACCTTCAATCGACGCTCATCATGGCCGATCGCAAACGATTATGCCCTTTATACGATCGTGATCGCCTGTGATTGTCTATCATGGCCCATCGCACAGATTACTATATACTAGTCATAGGCCCATCGTGTAGATCGGCCCTACCTATCAGATAACCAAATAAAAATGCCCTTTCACTACTTACAATAAAACGTAGTTGTCAAAAGACAGACCTGAGTTGCCAATTATGAAACTTTCCGTGTAACAGAGGACATAAGAAATATTGTTTTATGTTTTATCGAGAACAGTACCTAAGTACCTACTACATTAGTATTTAGTAGTGTAAAGTTACTTTCATAGACTATACAAGTTACTTTTCATTTTTAAACATGAGGACAGATGATTTTTATTAAATTTTTAATAGTTGAAATGTAGTACAATCTAGGCCCATTCCATTATTTGGCTAGTTCGTCAAGTTCGTTTGGATACCCGAATATGAAGACAATAATACTATCATTCATCGACGATGGTAATTTTACAGGCAAATTCTGGAAACACTAAGTCTCAAACAGTAAATAAACACTAATAATATCGGGTGAGTCAGATTAATAGGAAACTAGATAAACAAGTAAATAGGAACTGATAAATAACAATGTGAACTAATTCTTGTAGTGTGAAATTTTTTAGACTAAAATGTCTGCGAGTGAAAGTAAGTAAAAAGTTAAAAATATGTACTACTTAGGTGTGTAGTGATAATAAGTATCGTAATAAAAATATTATCAATTTTGCTGAGAAGTTACAAAACTCCTAAATGGATCGATAAATCTGGTTCCCTAACCAATAATTATACATTTTATTAAATTAAGGTTTTATATTACCTAGGCCTATAGTGATGTAGGTACTTAGGTACCTATTAAAAATATTTTACATACTTGACGAAGATAAAAACTTTAAGTGTAATATGATAAACTAATAAATATTATATGTGCCATTAGAATATGTGGAGCACAATATTGAACATTACCAACAGCGGTACAACTGGGACTGCGGAGTGTCCTGTGTACTGATGTTGCTGCCGCGGGAGCAGAGGGAGGAGATGCTCAATAACTTTGAGGATATCTGCGAGGACGAGGGCTTCAGGCAGTCTACATGGACTATAGACCTCTGCTATTTATTGAAGAGGTGAGACCATGAGGACTTAAACTTAATCATTGTACTGAACATTATAGGTAAATGCGAAAGTTTATGAGGACATAAGGGTGTGAACATTTACTCATTTTTAAAATTGACTAAATAATTATATTTGTTTTGTACAGATTTGGCATCAAGCACAGCATGTACACTACAACACTGGGAGTGAATGAGAACTGCAGAAGACATGGATACTACGACAAAATTATTCATATGGTATGCCTTAATTTTAATTTTGGGGTAACAATTCTCGGACATAAAAATTGTGTGGTAGAAGTCCAGTATCTGAGTGAGGGACCCACAGTGTGTGCATCCACAAAAAATCTCAGTATGAGGAAAGTTTATTTTTAGTATCTAAACATGAAATTATAATTTCTCTTATCCTGCCTTTTATTCCCTGAAGTCTAGTCCAACATTATCAAATAAATCTAGTAACTTTGTTACCAGGACCGTGACCGGGTACTACGTCGTTTCGACGAGGCGACGTCTCAGGGCATCTACGTGAGGAAGCAGTCGCTCAGCTACCACGACCTGCTCCAACACCTGCATACATCAGGTCCCGTCATACTACTGGTCGATGCTACACTGCTTGTCTGTGATCTCTGCAAGCATAATAAATTGAAGGTCGAGTTCAGGTAAACAAATTGTGTACTTTATTGTTGGTCAGCTTAGCAAAACAGTAGAAAGTTTTCATATTAAGAGCTTTAACCCGTCATTTGTCTAAACATGGATCCACACAAGACATAACATATTTTCTATTGTGTCTCATATCGGTGCATTCAAGCGGTTAATTTCATTTATTATTTCTATATTAGTTCAGTTTAATATTCAAATATTTTCAATGATATCATAGTGACACTACCTTTGTCTATAAAAGAACTCAATACATATGGTAATAGGTACCTGACCCTATATTTTAGTATGGGAGTCGTAAGTTCATACCATACTTAATGGTAAGTTGTTACTAAGTTCAATAATTACTTACTTCAGCCTACCTCTTCAGAGACCAAACTCTTTTGATCTGAATATCAATTTTCTTTTTTTGTGTCGTGTAGACGTTGTTTCGGCGGCAGTTACGCGGGCCACTACATAGTGGTGGTGGGGTCCCGCGGCAGTAAGTTAGTGTACCGAGACCCGGCTGTGTCCGCGCGGCTGTGCGCGGCGCCGGCGCGGCGCCTGCTCCGCGCGCACGGCGCCGCCGGCACCGACCGGGACGCCGTGCTGGTCCACGGGGACTACAGGTAACGCACTCCTTGCGGACATGGAGCTGGGAACTTGTTCTGGCTGTGATAAAACCAAACTATTAAGAAATCTTAAGTAGTTTTACTGACTACAAAAACAGGAAATTCTCTATTCCTTCATATGTGTATAATTAATATAAAGAAAAAAAAAAATATTTTTTTTCTGTGACTCCTACAGTGATGTATAAAATACCCAATACAAAGTATCTGAAATACAAAATGCAAGATACTTTTAAATTAAGTATTTCAGATACCAGATACAAAATACTATTGACATTGGTATTTGAAATACTAGATACAAGATGGGTATCTTTAAAATACTTTTTTAAGATAAAATACTTTTCCAGGAAAACAACAATTAAATGAATTCGAGTTTCTTTACTATTAAGGACAATGCTCACGAAGTATGAAAAAACCCAGGGCTGGCGCAAATGAAACTTCTCAGAGAAATTTCAGATTTTTAGTATGGTCCTAATAATAAAATGCTACTAAGAAATTGCTGTGTTAGTGGCTCATTTCTTTTCGTTTGCGCCAAGCCTGGGCTTTTAGACCATTGTTATTTGTAAATATCAGCTTTGAGTCTGATCATATTTTATTTTTATTGATGAAAAACATTTTAAAAGTATCTTATCCGCAAAAGTATTTCTAAAATACTAAGATATAGAACGAATGTGTCTAAATACAAGATATAAAATGGAATTTTAAAAAACTATTTCAAATACAAGATCGAAATACATATTTTGTATCTTGTATCTGTATTTCAGATACTTGTATCTCAAATAAGTTACATCTCTGGACTCCTAATAGATGTAGCAAGCCTTAGCAAGGCAATGCTCATTCAAAAGATTGTAGAAAAACGGGTAGAAACTAGAAAATTCACAAATGTTATAAGTAGATAGCGCTAGGATCATTTTAGATCCTGTACTAGATCAAACTCGAATGGAATATTCAGAATATTGTTAACAATATTTTGTAAAGTTATACCCGATTAAACATTGTATTACAATAAGACAAGAAATATTTAAAGTGTTGTACTTAGATACTTTACAACTAATGACAGTAAATATTAAATAATATCATTCCACTGAAACTCAAATATAAAAAGCAAGATAACTTTAAATTAAGTATTTCAGATACCAGATACAAAATACTATTGACATTGGCATGTAAAATACTAGATACAAAATAGGTATCATTAAAATACTTTTTAAAGATAAAATACTTTTCTAGGAAAACAACACCTGAATGAATTCAAATTTCCGTATTTTAAAGGACAAATGCTCACGAAGTATGAAAAAAAGGAGCAAATAAAACTTATTTCAGATTTTTAGTGTGATCCTAATAAATGCTACATCACGAGCATTATCGAAATCGATGGCTAAATGCAAGAAATTGCTAGTTAATTGTTAGTGGCTTATTTTTTTTTTCCTTTGCACCAATGTTGGGTTTTGTAGAGCATTGTCCTTTATAAATGAGAGCTTAGAATCTGATCACATTTTATTTTTATTGATGAAAAGAATTCTAAAAGTATCTTATTCGAAAAGTATTTGCCAAATACTAAGATACAGATCGAATGTATTTAAAGGCAAGACATAAATAGGAATTTCAAATACAAGATCGAATTACGTATTTTGTATCTTGTATCTGTATTTCAGATACTTATCTTAAATAATTCACATCTGTATCATTCCATTAATAATAATTTATCTCAATGTACATAATAATGACATGTGCCTTTGCATAATTTAATTTATGAGTAAACTATGACAATGTAACTTATAACAATTTCCATTATTTCAATTCAACACTCTAACTATATTACTATACAATTGCATTAAGATTGATTCGATGAAGCATTTGTGGTTTGTTGCAAAGTTGTGCTTGAGAACTTCTTTTATGGTTATGTAGTATTAAAGCGAATGTTTAGATTGCTATCATTTGTACACAAAGTATATTGAATACAGTCTGCGTAGCTACAAATGGCTACAACAATGTATGTGGAACTGTAATGCTGTACTTAGGTCTACATTATTGTTGATGTGTAAACAAATTACAAAGGTAAGGTAACTTGCTGTACCAGTACTTTTCTATACTACCTTCTGTGCTAGAGACGGCAGACGTGAATTGACGAGACATACTTCTTTCTTTGTGGTTTGTTTACTTGTTCCTTGTTCAAATCTTCCCCTAATTATCTGCTACTAAGTAAGTTAGTTATATTCATAGCTGTAAGACTGAGACTGAACATTCCCTGTTACAAATTAATACAAGTCATCATAGTAAGTACCTAATCTGTGTATTATAATGTTAGATGGTTAACTAGCAGTGTCACAAGCACGGCTGTCAAGCATAGGATGTTGGGGACAATTCATGGTCCCGTGTCGACTAAAGTGGTACTAAGATCATATTTTTACGAAACTTCTCGGTATTAGCGCGAAACTTCAAATTGAGCCTGGTGTATGGCAGTAGGCGCACTCACTGTAACATACCATACCACATACCATCCTATACCTGCTCCTCTGCTGTCTAAGTGTGGGAGAGCCATTCATCGGTACGAATGGGCCGGCTCGACCAGAGTGATACCACGGCCAAGCAGAAAACCGACGTGAAACAACGTTTGCGTTTTGTTTTGTCGTGTTAGTGAAGTTATCGGATGTCCAATTACCCCCTTCCTCAATCTCCCCAATCCCTGAATCCTCAAATTCCCAATCCCCAAAAGGCCGATAACACACTTGTAACGCTTCTGATGTTCCAGGTATACATCAGGTGATCCCAGAAAAAAAAATTACGGGTGTGATGTTACCTATATCTTTCTTTTTAGTACTACTGGAATAGTGTTAAGAATATAGATTAAAGATCATTGCTTACCTTGACTAAACTGGTCTGTTAGCTCAAATCTCTTGTATATCTAACCATGGTATGGACAGCAACCTTATAAATAGTTCCTTGATATTTAATTAACCATTGCCTCTCATGCAACATCATATTCATTGTGGTACTGCTAACGCCACTTGGTAAACCGCTCTGAAACACATTCCACATCTATTTGATGTAAAAATAAAATTTCACAGGTTTTTGTAACTTAAAAGATAATAATACTTACAGAATTTTGTTTGATTTAATGGTAAACAAACCGTCTTTAAACATTCACACTTATTTCAATGTCAAACGGTATAATTAAGTCTCATATAATGCATTGAAGCTTATTTAATAATAATGTACTAATGAACAATTAACAACCACGCACTTTCTAGTTCCACACATATTTATGAAGGAATAAGGATCACTATCAACTCATTAGATCTGTATACAAGAACTGTACAATCAAAGTTCCATGTCGAGTGACAACTTGTCAAATTAACAATTTAAAACGCAAAGGCGCTATATAGGAGCACATTAAAATACACCCAGCTCCTGTCAAAATCCTTTAACCGACTTTCAACTTTATAACAGTGAAGTGAAGTTGTAAATCAAATAAAGAAATCTGACAGATTGGTGTATCGATACATTGGTTAAGCAATGGTCAATGGTCAACCAGCCCTCCAAGTCTTGACAGCAAACATTTATTTACTTATAAATAGATTTTAAATTAAAATGGATAAGGTTGAAAATTCGCTAAGAAACTTGATTTATTGTTGTTATCATAGTCGAGATTTCCAACCTTGTCTAAGTGCCATGAAATCTTAAAAAAAATAATGACATCTATTCTACGATACATTTTAGTAAACGTAATTAAATAATATAATAGATAATTCCCCACACTGCGCCAACTGCGCATTTTGCGTTTTAGTATATTGCTATAATAGTGTGCACACACCCTTACCTGGGTATTTTCTGACCATAAAGCACATAAATCTATGATTATCTATATATTTTCGTCTATTCTTGGGGATTTACCACAAAACGGCAACGTGATGCTATATTGAACTTTGAAACTTAAGTCATAAGATGTATTATTGTGTAATATGTAAATGTTGTACTTTTGATAGGAGATTGGATTTATCTAGCACGTGTTTGGTCTCAATGGTACAATCCATGGCCACGATATAAATAAATATACTACTATTATATAGGTAAAACACATTGACTTAATTTGTATAACATATTTATACTATAACATGTGCCCACTGCTGACAATAGGCCTCTTCTCACACGGAGAAGGATTGAGCATTAATCACCACGCTTGCTCAATGCGGGTTGGCGATTTCAAACTTATAATTAGAAAGAAATTATAAGTCCAGGTTTCCTCACTATGTTTTTTTACCATTGTCGACGGTGTCTAAATAATCTTAGAAAGTACATATAACTCGGAAAAAGTCACATTGGTTATTGCCATTGGTAGGTTTCGAACCACTCTCATGCATGAGCAGCATATCTTAAACCTCCGGGCCACCACATTAACTTAAAATTTCATTTTTTATTTATTAGAAAGTAAATTTAATTCTCAATTTATCAACGGAACGGACCATGTATCAATCAATCAATCAATATAAGTATTTGTAAAAATATTGTGCAATAAGTTACAATTATTCATTCTCCACATATCCTGCCTACCTTATACTGGCGCATATCTAATTTATTAACATGAAAATGTCGTATTTTGTTGCCTATTTGCAGAATTAAGTATCATTCAGCATTATTGTAAGTTGTACCTACACATTTTCTAAAAATGAAGCCAAGCTAGATCTATCTAGCTAGATCGATTTATCGCCCCAAAATCTCAAGAAATTCGTTGAGAATTTCCAAAATCCTTGGTTCCGACTCGTTGCTCGTTTAAAGATATTAGATATCACATTCTTCTTAATCAAATTGGTCATTAATTGGAGCGTGATTTAAAAAAAATCTCAGTACTAGCACAGGTTTGGAATTCACAGGTTCACCCCCTATTACATGAGACTCATAACATAAATAGTGAAAAGTGGGTGTTTCATTGTACAG